CATTTACCGCATTGAAAAGAGAGCATGCCCCACAAACGGAAATTATCTGAACCGAGGTGTACAAATGAAACGATATTGAGGCAAAGAAAGAGGAAAAACCTCAACAATTTTGCCGAGGATTGAACGAAAGCGAATATTCAATGCATCTGCTTTCTTCTTCAGAAGACTGTGACCCTTCTGGGCCGCCCTCAGACGCGTCTTCATCGTTGTCTGAGCCCTGCAAGCAGTGTTATTATGCGCTATTCAGAATTCATATTTTGGCTAGCTGCAAAATGTATCTTTCTGGCACTGATGCAACTGGCAATTTCTCTAAAATTTGAGACTCCTGCAACCATACAACTACATGGAGGGGCCCAATTTGGCATCCATCTCCACTGCACTGCTAATCTCTTAGGCGACCTACCTTTCTGCCCCAAGCTTGCCAGAATTCGATTTATGTATGTTTTCGCAGACATATAGATGGAAATTTTTGAGTGCATTTCGCTTCGGAAAATTTGACAATCAGGAAAGCAGGAAGCTAAAATTTCGGGCTGTACAGGGTGTACAACTTCCAATTCATCAAAAAAAAATTTTTTTTTGGCACGCGGGTGGAGAAAACGGGGAAGGAGGTTTGTACAATTCTCACTTTCAATCGTTGCATATATTTTCAAAACACAAATCTTTTTCTATCGTGTGTACAAAAAACGCATGCTCTATTGGCACGCTTGAAAAACGCCACCAAATCATACGGGGAACGTAGGCTCACCGATGTCAAAACAGTGCAGCAAAATACCATCAAAACTCTGCGTGTTTTGAAAATTATCTTCGAAACCAAGCTATCATCCTGTTTCCTTCAAAAATCAGACTGGAACGCACTAGGCTGCTTGATGCGATCATGCGTTTTTGCACTAAACTCTTAGACTGATAATATCAGGCATGACCCCTGCGTTGATCCCAGCCTATCATTTGGGTTCATATTGGCCGCGTTCTGGCCTCTTCAGGCATGCAGGAGAAAGGGCGTGGTTAGGATGAAGGTGTTGCATTATAGGGCCGCGCGGGCCTTCGGGTAGATAATTACCAGTTTTTTGCATGAAGTCCGGTAGTTTTTTCGGCAAATGTTCGCTTTTTGAAATAAAAATGCAAATTTTCAGTTCACTAAAAATGACAGTCAAATCCTTTTACGAAAACTTTCGTCTTCAATCCTCATGTCCAACCTCTTGTGCCAATAGTTCAGGATAATTTTGCTTTCCCTCATTCCCTTTGGAATACTTCGATGCCAAGCCTCACTCATGACTACCTAAGCTCTCTCAGGCAGCTAGGCTTGCCTGCTGTAACAGCAACCTGGAGGAAGTCGTGAAATTCGTGACCGACTTACTAACTTGGGAAACTGGAAAGCTAGGGAGTTGGAATTTTGAGGGGGTATTTCCCGCCAAAGTTGAAATCAAGGTGTTCAAAACTAGCCGCAAGATGTATGCGATTCATATGGACGGACATGTGAAAATTTTTTAAGGCAAATTGCATATTTTAAAATTTAACTAGCAGTTTTGGCCGAGCCGAACGTGGCCACCACAAAACATAGCATGGAATTTTGTCGAAGAAAAAAAAATGCAAAATTCCACTCTGCGAGAATAACAAACTAAACCGAGACTTACATCCGTGACGGGAAAACACCAATACGATCCTTGCCGCCTCCAGACATTGCTCTCCTCTGATATCCTGCAAAACACTCGTAGCCCAAACTGC